CTAAACTATTAGACCTACCCCGAAAATAAGACCTAGTTGTGACAATTCCCAGGGCCAGTGGTGGCATAAGGGGGAACTTGAAGAGCCACGGGAGAGAATCAGCGGTGCCAACGAAGCCAGCGCTAGAGGAAGTGAGGCGTCAGCTGAGGGAGCAAAGCCGCATAAGCCGATGCCTCCTCTATAGGGCCGGCTCTTGTCACAGGCGGAGTGATACCAAATGCAAACCGCCTGTGAGGAATCGATAGTGAAAGCGCGCTTCGCTCATTCTGGCCAGCGAGTTGGTTAGCAAATTACTCTTGGAAAAGTACGGTACCCCTGGTTGCCCTGATCACCATATTTTTGGACATGAATACATAGACTTTTCTACATGAAGAAGTGTGGATTGTTGTACATTAAAAAAAAAAAATAAGACCTACCCCGAAAAAATATAAGACAGTGTCTTATTTTCGGGGGAACACGGTATTATGCACACCTTGATATAGGGTGTTGGTCTCCTAAGGCCACACCCTCCCTCATTACACAAATACACATCACCTGATATGCTTAAATCCAATAAGCCTTCAGGTATGTATGTATAGGGGCTGTTTTGCCTGCCATTTCTGATCCAGCCACTGCTACATAGCACAGCCCTGTCTGGCTGCAGTCATTGACATCTACGTGCCTTCTCCCTCCCCAGCCTGTGCCTGGGCAGTGAAAAGAAAAGCATCACACTGATGATTTTATTATTCTGCCTTTCCTTCTATCAGTATGTTCCTTGGCAGCACATGAGCACTGCAGACGCATTTTGTCACCAGCACTGTTTTTAACGCAGTGTTAGCGTAATTTGGTTGTTTTTGGTTTTGTCTTGTTTTTTGCAGGCTGGTGAGTGTGCTGGGATTTTTTGTGATTGTACTGTGGAAAGCCCTTCCATGTGCACCTTACTTTGAAAGCTAGTTACAAATTGCTTTGTGTGGTTACCATATTTGTTTTGCAGGTAACCAATAAAACACACACACACACACACACACACACACACACACACAAACAGTAATTATTGCAGCTCTGTATTCATAATAAAATGTGGCCAGGGGAAAGCAAGAGCTGCACATCAGAACCACTGGAGAACATTGTCTAAACTGATGGTGTTGTGTCATGCTGGCCACCACGTGTACTGCACATTAACTCATTATAAGCTCCATGTGTTTAACCTTTTTCCATGTAGGCTCAGGTGACCTATTGACACACTGTGGTTCATTAGCATGGGGTTCAATGGGTTCCTGTGCCTCACAGGGACCCTATTTGGAACACCCTTGCGAGTAACCCAGGCTAGCCTGACCAGAACCCTGGCCCTTGTTGCAGCCCGCTCTCACTCCGGATGATATTCGTCCCCCTTCTTTCCCCACAAGCTCATCCCAAAGAGTAGTCCCCCACTGTTACAGAATAACAGGAGTTCACACTTGTTCTGGTAACGTTAATAAAGGGGGATGCACCAATACCATTTATTCCAGACCCAGTATGAGTACAGATACTTTCCTCAAGTAATCGCCGATACCAATTACTGATACTTTTTTTTAGTGTCATTTTTCTAAAACAATACAGACTGATGATTTTAGGGCAGTGGTGAAGTGCCAGGGCCCGGTCCCAGCTGCAAACGCTGCACCCCTGGTAGTTCTGCCACTGACTCCAAGCTGTAGAGGGACTACAAATCCCAGCAATACATTATACAGCAATGCAGAATATTACCATCAGCTAGAGAGGACTACAAATCCCAGTGATACATTATACAGCAATCCCGAATGGCAACCAGCTATAGATGACTACAAATCCCAGAAATGCATTATACAATGCAGAATAATATGAAGCTACATACTCTGTGCTGCTCTGGGGTGCTGCCTGATGTCTCCAGCAGAGGATCTCAGGAGGGCTGTGCGGGGTCGTACAGGTCTTTGATGGGTCTTAGGAGAGTTATACGGGGTTGTAGAGGTCTGTGCAAGTCTCAGGAGGCTGTGCAGGTTCTATGGCGGGCTATGTGGACTCTCAGGTAGGCTGTGCAGGTTCTATGGTGGGCTGTGCAGACTCTCAGGTGGGCTGTGCAGGTTCTGTGGTGGGCTGTGCAGGTTCTGGTGGGCTATGCAGGGTCTATGGTGGGCTGTGCAGTCACTTAGGTGAGCTGTGCAGGTGCTATAGTGGGCTGTGTGGACTCTCAGGCGGGATATGCAGGGTTTATGGTGGGCTGTACGGACTCAGGTGGCTATACGGGTTCTATGGTGGGCTGTGCAGGCTTTTACCAGGGTTCCTGGTCTGTCTCAGCAGGTGCGGGCGGCATGGAGGAGGAGATTTCCGGCCAGTGTTGTAAACAAGTACCGCAACCTTGCTGGGGACCTCGGCAGCCTTCCTGTGAAGCGCGGCGCTTCTTTACAGCGCCGTCTTAGGTCTAAAAATGTACAGTGTTGGTATCGGCGCTTATTGTCGGGGCATTTTCAGGAGTACAAGTACTCCTGAAAATACCCAGTATTAGCACTGATACCGATACCGGTATCGGTGCATCCCCAGAAATAAAACATCAACTTTACTTGACAACAGATAATAAATGACAGTCATGCATGATGGCACATACTTAGTAAAGATTAAATTGATCTTCAGAGAGTTTGAGAAAGATAGAGTATTGGAGACAATATTAGAGAGGGGCCTGCACCTGGCATTGGGTATAGCAATGTTCTGGCTTACCTCACCATAAGTAAGTGACTGTTCCTCTGCTTCCCCCAATGGGAAAACTACAAGAGAAGGACTTGTCCATATATGGCCCCTCCCTGACAGGCCTCTAGAGAAATCAAGAAGAACAGTGTCCCATACACCAGCTCCCTTACTTATATCCTTCCTCTAGGAAATCCTGATTAACGGTGGCAACCCTAAGTGGGCTCTTAATACCAGGTCCGCCACTAGTTAGTGGCCGTTGTTTTTAGCGGTTATTAGGTCATTGGTGAGTTTTAGGAGGGCGGTTTCAGTGGAGTGTTTGGGGCGAAAGCCGGACTGAAAGGGGTCCAAAAGGTTGTTATTAGCGAGGTGGCAACTCAGCACTATAAAGACATCTAGTGGTGGCAAAGGTAAACTACACCAGGGCACTAACCTACAGTGGTATGGTGATAGCTAGTTACCCAGAGATGCTGTCTTACAAGCTGATTGTGCCTCAAACCCTTACCCTTCCACTTTCAAAATTTAAAGCTGAGCTCCAGGTTTAAATATTTATATATACTTACATTGGTCCAGCTTGGCCCAATGTAAGTAAGCATATGATATACCAGCCCATGGGAACCCTGTAAAGCACTGTAGTATCTAGAGCTATTACAGTACTTTAGAGTGATCTTCTGGGTGCTGAATGGTCTTGAGCTAAGTTGCTTCCCCTCTGATTTGAAAACACAGGAGTCACTAGCTCAGCACAGTGATCATTTAGAGAACACCTAGGTGTATTTATCAGGGAATTCAAGGCATACTCTGATCAAATGAGGGGCAGTGATGTCACGATCTGCCCTTAGATCAATTAGAGAACACCTTTTATTCATTAATATACTAGGCATTCTCTGAATGGCAACTGTGTTGAGCGACCGACCCCCTGTGTCTTCAGAGAAGAAGGGAAGCATAACGCTGTACAAGACCTGCAAGATCGCTGTCAGCACTATAGTAGCTCCTGTTACTGCAGTGATTTACATTAACATACCATATTATTATTATATCATAATTTATACCTGGAGTTCAGGTTTAATCCTTTCATTACAAAGAACTTCCCACATAGAACACAGTGTGGGCACTCTCCTCCAATTATGTAAGCTTTAGTAAACCCAAGAGAGATCAAACCATTTCTTGTCTTCTAGGCAATTGCCTCTTACCATACCCTGCCTTGCACACTCGCTATGTTCCTATATGTGTCTGTGATGCCATTCACAATCACTTGCCACTAATCTGTAGTTTTTGCACATGGACAAAAAGTCAAGTGGCAACCCATCCCAGCCACATCCGCAGCCCAAATTAAGGGTCCCCACCCATAATTTAAGAGACACTGATTTAAAGTGTATTTCTAGGTTGCAGCCAAATTGGGATAATATCTATTTTATATTTGTTACATGTTCCCATTTACATAGCATTAAAAAAAAAATGCTTCTTGCAGTTTCAATAGCTTTTACTCGGGTTAGGGTTTTAAGGGTTAAAATGTATTCTTGCATCTATTTCTTTTAAATGTTAGGAGAGGCTGTGAGGGCTCTTGTCCATTCAGAGGTGGCTGGTCCATTATATGCCAATGAAGCTTATCAGATAAACATAATTCTCACTTTTCAATCCCAAGACTTTCCATTGGGACAGACCACTGTGAAAGGGCTAAGAAAAGCCTGGAATCAGCCACCTTGCCTGATTTAACATCTAAAAAAGTTCAGAATTCTTTTTAGAGTTATATATATATTTCAGTTTGCTATGTGAATAGGATTTCATAAAGAACATATGAAGGGATTTTCTCAAATTTGACTGCAAAAGTGGAAAAACATTTAAATAAATGATTCTGAAAGGAGGGTAGAGGAAACATAAAACCGGTAAATAAAATGTGAATGTGTCATAGTGCAGTAACCCATAACAACCAATTAGATTTCTGTTCATTACTGTCACAATAATTCAACACTTATTTTTTCCACTTGCTGCACTTTCCATGTCATTCTTTTTCCCTGTTCACAACCTCATGTTGTAATATTGATGTTTTAGGTATTCAAAATATTTGTTAAGCACTTCCAAATTGTGTGTCCCATTTTAATTTTGTAGGTCAGATGAAGCATTGGCTTGAGGATGTAAGCAAGATAAGGAAAAAATAAATGTGCTTTCACATAAATCACGCCCTCTGCTGGTCATATGGAGTTTTGTGGTCTGGAAAGTCCCAGGGAAATCCCAGATGGGAGGGGGAAGTATCAACACTGCTAAAGCTATTCATTTCAACCTATTGCTAGGTTCAACGTCTCCGGCACACAACTGCTAGCACAACCTAGAAGTAATGCAGGCACTGCTTAGGACATCATACATATAGAAACCAGGATTTAATGGTAAAAGAAAACCTCTTACAACTGACAAGGTAAGACTGCAGGGAATGCATGACTGTCATTGGTTTTGAGGGCTGCAGTGGGAACTAACAATCAGGACTCATGCACATGGATGTCTGGAGTCGTACAACGTATGATTCCAGCGTATTTCCCTGCGCGGGAAGTCCGGGAACCACTGGTGCTACATACAGCCACCCATAGAAATTAAGAACTGCACCCAGCTATATTTTGGTACCTGTGCAAACACGCGCATGTGTACGGATGTACAACCCCAGAGGCAGATCCTCTGTGTCCAGGGTTGTGCGCATATTTCCACAAAAGCTATCGGTTTTTATGGGCAGCTGTGTGCAGCACTTGGGCAGGGGAATATGCCAGAAGTTTAGGTTATATAGCTCCAGGTGCCCACGTGCATGAGCCCTTGGCCTGCATTCACACCTAGGCGTCAGCGTTTTTGCTCGCAAATTCGTCCAGTGCGGTTTTTGCACATTGTTACGCGCGTTTTAGCTGGCGGATTGAAAAAACATTGAGGTCAATGGACAAACGCACATCAAAACGTGCAAAATCATGCATAGAAATGTGCAAATGCTTGTGTTGCATGTTCCCAGGCATTTCCATTGAAGTCTACGGGGCCAAATGTGCTGTAAACTGCCCTAAAGAAGCTCATGTACTTTTTCCAGCGACAGGCGTTTTACAGCTCGCGAAAAAACGCTCAGGTGTGAACAGGGGCTTTTGAAATGAATGGGATTTCTTGAGTTATACTTTTGTGGCGTGACAAAACGCCTGGGTGTGAATGGCGTGCTAAGACATTCCTTTTCATTGCAGTGCATGACGGGTTACAAGATCACTGATGTAGTATGCCTGGAATTCATGAAGATTGTCATAGATACTTTTTAGAAATCTGTCTTCTCATCGTGCAAAAAATGGCGGAATATCAGACAGATTCATATACATGTCAGCAAGGTGTATATGAATCTGTCATGAGCATCTCTTTTGGGAAGCTGTGAAGTTTTACAGGCAGAGCAGCTTTCGGGAGAAGTTGGAAGAGTAATGGAAATGGATTAAATGTCAGTTCCACTACAGTGCTTTACAGTGATCTTCCTCGTCCTGTATGGTGCTGAGATGAGCTGCTTCCCCTATGCTCTAAAAACACAGGGGATCACTCACTCAGTACAGTGATCATTCAGAGAACACCTAGTATATTTATCAATGAAATGTATTAAATATCAGTTCCAGAGGAACTACAAATGTTGTTGCAGAATCGTATCAAACATGTGACACATTAATTACATGTGTGACACAAAAACAATTTACTCCCAACGTGTCACCACCACTTTCCTTATCACCGATATGGCAGTATTTCTTTATAATTTTGTCACAACAATAGCACCATGCAGTAAAAGTGTTGCAAGTAAGAACTACTTGAATGTGTGGCAAACGTCGGGACTAACAATGAAAATGTCACAAGGATTTCAAGAATTTGGTGCAAGGCTTTCAACCACATAGACACCGCCATAAATATACCCCAGATCTTTATTGAATTGCCCCCATGTGTTTCCTATGTATTTCATTTGACACCTTCAGCAGTTTGGTAAGCATTGATGTGAGCATGCTCAGTAGGAGTTGGCTGCTGCGTCCCTTGTGTCTTGTTGGATTCTGCTTTCTTCGGCAGAGTGCTTTTCATTCTTTAACAATGTGTGGCATTTGATTGACTCATGTCATATGCGCTATATTTAGTATGTGAATTTCCAGAATTCTGTAATCATACAATCAGTGCTGAAATCATGGTATACTGTACTGTATATAAACATTCCTATGACATATAGAGCTCCTGTTTCTGGGCTTCTCAAGTCACAATGTCAGGATATGCGACACAGACATAAATGTGCTATAAATAAATCCCATACCCAAAAAGCAGAGCCATCAATGTTGACGTTTAGGGAAAAGAAATATAATACAAAAAAAGTTGGAGGCGGCTTATAAAAGGAGGAATATTGAAGACAGAATCTAATTACAGTAGTAAGAAAACGGGGGGTGATCAAATAAAAATCACCAAGTGGTGATTATTATAATCAAGAAATACCGGGGGATTTTGTTAAATGTTACAGTTTCAGAAGATTATTTCCCAGAGGAACCCAACAGAATCAATAGGAAACTGAAAACAGTAAACAAAAAGAGTATTTTGGCAAATAGCTATATAAAAAGGGAGGACAAGTGAATAAAAGCTCACTAACATAGACCCCTAGGCTTGTGGTAAAGAAGACCTCCAGGGGCAAAAAAATATCAACCCTTGCAGTGGAGCTACCATACTGCAAGGGTTAAGTGATCGTTTGTGTCTAGGTTATAAAAAGTTTTACTCACCCGATCCTTGGAGCCTGCTTGCTCTTAGACCCGTCCCTTCCGCTTCTCTTCTCCTCCGCTGCAGCGATGGTATGTCTCTCGGCATCATCACCTCTACTACACAGTGCATAGACTGCACATGATGACTGTGGGACATTAGACCGCTGCAACGAAGAGAGGCAGAAGGGACCGGTCCAAGAGCAATTTGGCTCAGAGGATCGGGTGAATATAACTTTATTTTTTAACCTAGACAAAAACAAGCACTTAACCCTTGCAGTGCGAGGGTAGCCCCACTGCAAGAGTGAAGAAAAGCTTTCTGAGGGGGAGAGAGACTCTGATTTGAAGGAGGGATTCTGATGTGAAAAGGGGGCATTTCTGATGCAAAAGGAGGGTTCTAATGTGAAAGAAGGGACTCTTATGTTAAAGGGGACACTGACCTAAAGGGGAGCTTCTGATGTGAAAGGGGGGACTCTGACCTAAAGGGGGCTTCTGATGTGAATGGTGGGACTCTGATGTGAAGAGGGGCTTCTAATGTGAAAAGGGAGCCATTGTGGGAAAGTTGACATCTGAAGTGAAATTGGGGGGACTCCACTGTCTTAGGCCCCACGCTAAACAGCGTGGTTCCATTGAAAGCAGTATGGAAACTGCGCTGATCAGCGTTGCAAAAAAAGGGACAGGGAGCAATTCGAGCGGGAGGCGGTTCGGATCTTTCATGTCAGAGGATCCGCGCAGCCAAACTGCCATGGTGTGAGCGAGGCCTAAGATGAGGGTTTGGTATTGATTTTGAAGGGAAGGCGGCACACAGTTTTTTACATTTTTTACAGTTTTAATGTTTTAGACGGGTCCCTTGAGATTCTGCATACCGGTACTTGCAAAAGGTGCCATCACTGAGAAAAAGGTTGAGAAACACTGTTAGATCACAATATACGAAGGGATCTATTGAATCCTGAAAGCTTACCTCATGTTAGCTGACAGAGGATATCCCTTAAACTCCAAACTTTGATGCATTACAAAACACAAGCACACTTGACTACAAAGTAAGACGATGGAAGCCTGGGAGGGGTTAGATAACCAGAGGCACAGAGCGAGAATACTGATTGGAAGAAGTGATGTCACATGACCTCCAGCATCACAAGCAGGAAGTGTGAGTAGACAGCGAAGAGGGGAACTGCCAAGAGATCTGGTTTAATAAGGACGATTATAGAAAGGTACCTGTCACTCTGAATTGATTGATTGTGGTATGTTTTAGATTTAAAGGAACCCAGGGAGGTAAAAAGAAGAAGACTGAATGAGATGAGTTAGCCTGGTCACCATGGCAGTGCATATATAGCAATGGTAGGCAATCTTGACTCTCCAGCTGATGTGGCACTACAAGTCCCATGAGGCATTGCAAGACTCGGACAGCCCACAGACATGACTCCCAGAGACATGATGGGATTTGCATTTTCATCACAGCTGATATGCTTTTGTTATACAGTGTGTAATAAGTATGAGGGGAATGTTTCAGCAAAGTTTATTATGCTAAGTGATAGATTTAGCCTGCAGCAAAAGTACAATGAACACTCTCAGTTCTACTCATTGGGCTACGTATATGAAATTTGCTAGGAAATTTTTTTTACACTACTTTTGTTTTATTGCTTTAGAAGGTGCGTCTTCAGCTAGGGCAATAAGACTATCTCTGGTACCTGCTAAAATCTTTAAAGTCAGGCAGGTTGTCCCTTTTTCTGTGCATTTTCGGAAGAGTCACATGACTGCTTCCTCTCTCTCTTTTGCCAATGTTCTATCGAAAGCTCCAACTCGTCGAAAGCTCCAACTCGTCGAAATCTCCACTACCTCACTGCCGGGTACTTGCAAGTTGGAGATTTCGACCAAACGGTGTTAGATTGCAAAACACAAAGACTGACGGAGCTCTGTACAGCTGCATTTTCACAATATTCAGCAGGTGGCAAACTCGACGAGTATTCTGAAAACGCTATGCGCGCACCGGAAGTGAGGTAGTTGGAGCTTTCGATAAAACACTGACTCAGGCTGCAGCTGTGGGTGGGGTATAGCAGCGCCTGAACGTTATTGGAGGATGCAGTCCTGTAGTTTGGTAGGGATAGCACTGGGTGACAATGCTCTATTAAATTCAATGTAGTAAAGCCATCTCACCGCTCACCCTTAAAGTAGTATTAAACTCTCAAACTTCTTTTCAATAAGGATTCCAGATCACACTGATAAACCCAGCAAAGTATTTCTTTACATTTTCGCTCCAAACACATAGTCTTCATGTTTCTGAACAGCTCCAATTCTCTCAGCTCGGCTTCCCTGAACTTCCTGTCCAGTACAAGATCACGAGGGACAGAGCAGACTTTAGCAACTGTTCATCTACTAGCTTGTAGAGGCGAGCAGGGAAGTAGCTTGTGGGTGGGTGTGAAGCTGAGAAATGAAAGAAAGCATAGATATGGCATACAGGTACAGCAGAATGTAGAGACATATGTGCTGTATAACCAAAATGTTTGTAGTTACCCTGACGTGCACTTGAAAGGATGAACTCCAGGGTAAACAAATATTGTCTAAATACAAGAACTATGTTTATTCTTACTTGGATCTTGGGTTGCTTTGTGTACCTCTTCCAGATCTGTGCAGTAATCCAGTGTGAATCTTTGCCTTTGCTATAAAGACAAGTTGCCATAATAAAGACCAGTCATTGCTG